TGGATTTATTCGCGTTTTTTTCTTGTAAAATTCACTAGGTTTTGAGGATCGGAAATAATATGATGCGATACCGGCCGACGACGTGCAAATCGTTCAAGTTTAACGTGCACAAGCGTTTGAGTCAGATGTCTGTGGTCCCTATTCTAGAAACAGGGGAGAAACGTTCTCATGAGAACGAAGGTTCTGTCTTCGTCACCCATATTCAACTTTTTTTGTTTCTATTTTAGTTTTGTAATTATTGTCTGTTGGTGATTTTTAGGAGTAGGGAGTATATACTGTATAACTATATTGTTTAATTTTTTTTTCTTTTTTTTAGGTTTGTAAGAATTTGTAATTGTATTTTGTTTTATGTATTAGCCAGGTGCTAAATAAAGGATTATTATTATATTTCCATAACACTAACAAAGACAGAGCAATCGTTCTCATGAGAACGCTATTCCCCGGTTTTGAAAATAGACATCCAGATAGACTCGGGGATTCGCCAACCTACTTGAAGGAGCAGCCAAACTCAAACATAACCAAACTTTAGCCGCTTTCTTTTTTTCCATTGAGCAGAAAGAGATAGACTGCTCATTTGTAGGTTCGCCGGTAAAAAAAGAATGCGCCCTTTCAAATTATTATTAAATTGCAGAAAACTGTCGATCCGGCCGGAATTCCGGCGGTCCGGTCCGGTTAGGAGCCGGAATTCCCGTTCCGGCCGGATCGGCCAAATACCCGATCCGGTACATCCCTAGACTGTTAATAGAGCGTTTCCACAAGATGCACAAGAGCAGGGAATTCTATAGACGCCAATCGTTTCAAGAGATGCCCTTGGCCGATCTTGACTTTGCTGATTTGTTCTTGTAGGCTTGTAGATGAGCTTAATGCTATGTCGAGTGCTGTGTTTTTCTAGCGTTTGTCCGCTATGCAGCGATCTGTGATAGAGATGTAACGTGAAAAAAAACAATCCGTTTTTTTTGTTTTTTTTCAAGTTTTTTTTCATGGTTTTTTTTCAAATGGTTTTTTTTCAGATTTTGTGTTTTTTTTCTAAACTTAGCACCATATGCACATTTTTTACTTTTTTTGCCAATTAAAATTTTCTTGGGACAAAAAATTGGTTTAAGCAGTGAAATATGGATGAAACATAAAATATTGCCTTATTCTATATAGAAATAACATAGGAACAATATTGGATCTGTTTCTGCAGAAATCACAAACCAGTCAGAGCGAATTTCATTAGTTGAAAAGTCAGAAAACTAATTTCAACCAATGAAATTAACTCTGACTGGTTTGTGATTTCTGCAGAAACAGACCTATTCTTATGTAAATGAAACATGTTTTCAGGTCAGGTACATGGTACATCCATGTATGAACTATCATATTATATCAGATCATACATTCATCATAATCTTACAACATACATACTAGAACAGAACATCACTGATATAAGAAAGACACTTTCGCTGTATGAAGAATTTTCAGACTGTAACTACGTCTCCAGGGTCGTCAAATGTCCGGTTTTTTTTTACTTAAAGATGAGGTTGGAGATACTCACGAAGTTTAAAATTGAATTATTTTGAAAAAAACACAAAAACTTGTTTTTTTTTTCTAGTTTTTTTTCATGTTTTTTTTTCAAATCTGAAAAAAAACCTGCTTTTTTACATTTGAATCATTTAGAAAAAAAACAAAAAAACCGTTTTTTTACATCTCTAATCTGTGACATTTTTGATGTAGGGAAGAAAGGCTCTCCCTGCCACCTGTGCTGGTTCCTTATTATTTGTGCGCTGTTGCTTTGGTCTTATACTCGGTCTTATAGCTCTATTTTTCTCCTGCTTGGAGTACCAATTTCCTTCAAGTGCTGATTTCAGGTATTGCATCTTGTCCTGTAGGTATCTGGGTTCACAAATTCGGATTGCCCTGTCAGATACAGTTCTCCAAAAAACAAAGACCTTTCTATTTTCATTTTACCAAGCATTTTACTAAGTTTTCATGTCTGTTGGAACAGAGCTATTATCATAACTAAATTGTTTTTGACAAAGCAGCTTATAAACTAACTTCCTACTTAATATAATCATAATCACACAAAATTCAAATAGTTTTCCCAGTTTAATGACTCATAATCCGGTCAAAATACTACTAAAAATAGTAGTGAAGTTACAAAAATTCCCATAGAGCTGAAAATTGGAATAAATATTCGGAACACCATTATAAATGAATGTTGAAAAGTCCCCATCGATCCCGTACGCATATTCATTTTTTGCCAACGCAACCGATATTCGGCTAGATTCGTGCCCTGTGCCGTGAAGCGTTAGCAGAATATGAGCATCGCAACCAGACGTTGGCGCTTCATGTGACTGTATGTTACAAGCATTTTATTGATAATTAGGTCGGATAAATATTTTTTATTCAAAGGAGGGGAAGATAAAAGATATATTTATATGAAAATTTCAGCTAAAACAATGGCATGATATTGTGTTAGATAAAACTACCGATGTCTTTCGAACTACCCGATGTACTTTTTATACTAACTATTTTATAGAGTGTGAGGTAGAAAAAAATTGAAATAATAAAACACAAAAGGTAGAAATTGAGAAATGCAAAATGTCGAAAATATGAAAAGTTCAAAATACAAAAGATCTTTTTTCTCTTTTGGTTCTACATATTTATGTTTTTGTAAAATAAAAGAATAAAATGAATGTTCAGCTGAACTCTCGGCTGAACTGTGTTTCTGTCGCACAACGTCAGAGAAGCCAACTTCAGTGACTCATAATATTTATTCAAAATTTAATAATACATACATGCGATCTATTTTTTATACGCGCTCTTTTTTCGTTATTTTATCAGGTTCATAGAAACAGAGCATTTCCAGGACGGGTCAGTTTGGGTTAATTTGGATTAGGTACTTTTCATGTCTTTGTTTGAAAAAAGGAAACAGGAAGGAACAGCGCCTAGTGCGGTTTTCAAACGAAAACTAACCCGAACTAACCCAAACTAACCAAAAATAACCCATACTATCGAAAACTAACCGAAACTAACTCAAATCTACCAAAAAAAGTTCTGGGGCCTTTGAATAGACACAATGATCAATTTTTAAACTCTTAATAACGATATTTCTTCATTCGTTATCGCATTTCGCATTGAAACATGTGCCAACAACTAACAATAACGGCCAGTTTCCAACTGAATTTATTTGGAGAATATTTTTACGAACGCCAGGCAGGCTCTATAAACTGCCAACGTTAGTCCACTTCAATCATAATTTGCCTACGCTGTGCTCGAACGAGCACGAATGCAGCCGAAGGTCCTATTACGTTGGCAGAAAATGAATATGCATACCGCACCTGGATTTTTTTTAATTCAAGGTCAAGGCCTATTCCACGGTCCACTGTGAACATGTTTAATTTAAAACTATTGGCTAATAAAAAATATAAGTATTGGAAATGAAAGCTGTATAAAGGAATAAAAATATTTTTTTTGTGCCCTGAGGATGATCTAGTTTAGGTCGAAACGTCGACAAATACATATTTTTCATCTCCAACACTGTTTTATTGACCTGAATCCAACATCTAAAAAACTAATCAAATAAAAAACATGTCAGGTCAAAAGGAAGAGGGTGAAACTGTTACTGTTGATCATGGCATGAAGATATTAATCAATGCAAGTACTGAAAGAGCTGATGAATTTTTGGAATATCTGAAAAATCAGAAATCTGTGATGTGGCAATACATGTGCAGTGTGTGGGTATACTATCAAGTTCAAGTGTGGCTTGGTTATCAACTAGATCCAAAAGACTGTGGTTAGAAGCTGATCGACAGACAACAATACATTGGAACCAGTCCAAACTTTATTCTCATCTGCGCCGGAAAAGCTGCTCAACACAATTTTTTGCAATTGGGGATGTATAATAGTGCTACGGCTGCAAAAAAGTTGGATTATTTTGTTCTCTTGCATGTACTGCACTAGTTGTCAAGGTCAGTCGTGCTCCAATGTTGATTCACCAACAGAAGAGGATTCGTATGATACCAACAAGGAGACATGTGATGCATCGCAATTGAGGCAACTTACTTGCATACAGCAAGAAGAACAAAGAACAAGATGAAGAGGAACCAGAAGTATTAGACGACTATGAATCTGACGAATAATTTTTCCCAATTTTTTAAAATTTATATTGCTTTCATCACTCCCAATACTATTATTTTTTATTGTTCAATAGAGCTGAGGTTAGTGATCCGAGGCGATAGCCGAAGATTATAATTAGCCAAGGGTATTATTTGCAGTTATCGGCCGTGTTTTATTCTAAATTTTTCGTCATACTGCAGATTTTCCTATAGGGGTATGTGCCGGTGGCCGTTATTTATATTTTAACTTTTAACCGGCCGGCGGATAAATAACGGCCAGTGGCCCTTAAATATACATTTTCAGTTTTCATTTCGTTCATGTTTTAGCTTAAGATAACAGTACAGTATGACAAAAAAAGGCGCGCTTCAGTACATTACTTTACATGTGTGCATATCATGAAAAGTACAACTTTTTCAACTTTTAGAATCATTATATCTCATAATCGGTGGCTTTTAGGAGAAAACGTATTGAGACATTTTTTATAGATAAATACGAGCTCTGGAGTTATACTTAGCCCAGGGGTGACTTGCTATTGAGAAACCGGTCCTAAGACCTATAAGCACTAGTATAAGAACTATAGAATGTAGACCAAGAAATGTCATCAGAACTTTTCTAAAATCAATTAATGTTGTGCGACATGAAGCCAGGACCCCTTTTTGTTTTTAAAAATTTCCAAGTTCATCTGCAGAACGGCACCCATTGCAGCAGAACTATAGAACCCTTTAAAATAAGGCAAGAAGTCATGAAAAAGTTGAGGGTGCTACAAATTATTTTTTATTTGATTAGTTAATTCATGTTTCTAATAGCCTTAAGATACAAAGAGAATGTAGTAGGGAACAATGCCCTACATGAACACACTTGATATTTTGTTACAATAGAAATATAAAACACAATTAACATACCTAAATCTTTGTCACTGGCCCCCAAATGATTTTCCAATTCTGTACATATTTTTGACACTAAAGATAAATATTCCAACTTCTCTACTTCATCCATTTTATCCATTTTTTTTACACAAATACGAAAACTGCAAATTTCCAAATATGCAAATTTAAAAAAATGAAAATGTAAATACCAACATAACCAAACATTAGTGACGATGACTTTTGACATTGACATTACTGAGAGCTTTCTTCTCACAACTCGGGCACGTTCGAAAACATGATCAAACGAACAAAAAAAAAAGTTATATTCATGCATTCAAGGGTGGTGCGCAGTGATGTGCCTGTAGACAATGTCAACGTAAACAATTGATTGTCTACGCGTAGACAATTCGAATTGTTTACGTGAGCATTTGTCTACACATTGTCTACATGCGGCGTAAACAATAACTTATTTTAAAAAATTCGAAAAAAAATATCAAAAGTTACTATACTATCACTATCACTTCGATATCAGGATTCACTGATTATAAAATATCCAGGAAAACCAATAATAAAATAAAAAAAAAATTAAAAAAAGAAAGTGTGAGGTTAGAATTAAACGTCATTTATATTATTTTACAATTTTACATTGTTGACACGTTGTCTACATTGTCTACACGTAAAGTAGACTCCTTGCGTTCGGTATTTTGCTCAAAGTGTAGAGCGAGCTGAGCGGAGCCGTAATCACGTGACCAGCGAGCGAACGGAGCAGTTGAACGCTGTATAAAAGTACCGGAAATTTTAATAAACGAACGCGAATGAGGCTGCACCGAGTACACTTTTTAAATAAACGAACGGTAAAGTCAAGCTCGGAGAACTCAGACCAAAATAACGAACGCACGGAATGAAAGTCTACGTGTAGACGCACATCCCTGGTGGTGCGACGGCAAGGAATACTTTTGACGACGTCCCAGATTTACCATAAAAGGTCCCGTATTTCAAACCCACAATTCGATAGTATCGTCCAAGGATAGTATCGTCTACTATAGCTCTGTTCCAACTTATCTCTGGTTCCAACAGACATAAGACTATAAGACCCATTCTAGAACGGTAATTTCCAGTCGATCAATTCGTTTTTTGTCAATTAGGATAAATATTCAACGTTCATCTTACTAAAAAATAGGTGGGCAACTGAAAATTACTAGTTCTGGTACAGTTCTCATGTCTGTTCGAACAGAGCCTATGAGTATTTATATCAGGGACCCGGACCGGAACGATATTGAACCGAGAACCGGAACGGGACTGTTTTTTTTTTGCGGACCGGAACCGGCACGGCACGAAACCCATATTTCATAGAAAATGTTGTAGGCAAGAGGCAAGCTGAACCGGAACCGATATAAACTAAATGGTTCTTACCGGTATTTCGCGGTTTCAAGATTTCATAAATTATGCCGTTTGCTGTTTGGTTTTATCGTAATAAATTCAACACTCTAAAAACTTCCACAGGATTGCTCATCCGTCTCGATTTCTGGAATCAAGTTCATATGGTGTTGCACCGTTGGCGACGTCATCAATGGTGTCGTTTAGCGGTTTGCGCCAGCGGTCGTGTTTAAGAATATACATTAATGATGAAAAATATTACATATACCTCATAGGAATGAATATGCAGGGTGTCCTCAATCTTGATGGCGTACGGGCAAAGTTGAAGCATAAAAACTGTGAATAACTGATCGAGAACATAAAAATCTATTATTATTTAATAATAATAATGATTATTGAAGTTGTTGCAGATAGGCAGAGGAATCCAATGAAAAATAAACCCCAAATTACAGAAACATAAATTTTTCTGTTAGATTTTTGTGAAAAACTAATACCGTGTGAACCGTTAAAACCGAAATTATTGGTCCGAACCGGATCAAAATATTTCTCTTAACCGGAACCATAGGGGAACCGATATTTCTCATGACGCTGTGAACCGGAACGGAACCGATATTTAATTTCGTTCCGGGTCCCTGATTTATGTTTGACGATACCTATGACGATACTATCGAATCGTGAGTTCATCATTGGTTGAAAATAGTCAGAAAACTGGTTGTTGGCGATTTGCACCAATTAAAAATGCTCTGATTGGTTTGTGATTTCTGTGAGAACAGACCTAAAGTCTCCTGAAAACTGGGAACTCTCGACCCTTCAACCATTGCAAATAATTAATGTAATTATTGCCGCAAAAAACTGAGCATGTCTGCAACACAGTTTCTTTTTTAATCCAGAACCGCTAAAACTTGTTCCAAATTGATCCGAAAGCGATTCTAGTTGAACCGCGAATTAGAACTGTACCCACTACTAAAAATTCGGAGTAAATTGATGAGCCGAGCGAACAGCACAATTTGAAATGCACATGCGATTATTTTTCAGTGCTCGAACTGCTCGATTTCTACCGCAATCGACGGCCGACGCGAAGCTATTTTAGTAAACATCTTGGATGATTAGAATAGAATAGTAAAAACAAAGTGATTGTACTATAGAATGGCCCTGACCGAGAACTTGTTCTGTGTGTCTTGACCTTGCCTGTCTTGTGTGCATCCAGCTTTATAACTACCTACATAATTTAATTTTGGTGTTCTAGTGTAGTGTTCACTTTTCACTTCCGTGTACTTCAAGTAGTGTAGGTAATTTGTTCTGTTTTTGACCTGAACCCTGAACCTGACCTTATTTGTTTTTTATGGGTAAACAGCAATTATTGTAATAGTATTTAATTTATTAATTATTATAAACAAATACAGTTAATGGTTACAACAAGAAGCATTTATCGTTTTTATCGAATTACAGACATTCTCATTTGTATATTTTTCACTGATAAATTCATTAAAATAAATACTATAATAAATACCTATATATTTTTAGATATCTATTATCAAGTCATCCAACTGGATATATAAGTACTAGATTGTTATTATTATACTGTCGACTAATTATTGAAAACCTTTGGCCTCTGAAACACCACGCACCACTAAGTAATCAACCACTAACAATACAAGTTTTTATTGAACTATAATCATACCTAATTTTTAGTTGAACGAACCCAGGCATACTTACCATGAATGAAGCATTTGTTGAAGTCAATGGAGTTCCCACAAAAGTGACTACCTGGGGAAGATGGATTGAAGAATCTCAAGGGAATACAAATGAAATCATTATATTGATTCCAGGTAAATATTTTGAAGCTTGTTTAATATATACCTTTTCCAATTGTAATTGAGAAACAGTTAGATGTATTCCAGAAACCGTCAAATGTAATTATTGAGAATAGTTAAATGTTATTTAGAATGCGTTAATCGTATTTCATCAGAAAGCATCGAATGAGATCCAGAATAGGTCAAATGAAATTAAGATAATGCAATATTTGAAACTGTGGAAGTTGTACAATATTTCCTAACTAGTGCTGAAAGTACTACTTTTCCGCATGCGATTGCAGTTTGCCAAACAACACGCAGCGGAGTTCGACAAGCAATCAAGTGCAGAAAAGAGACTTTCCGCACGAGTTAGGAAATCTATTTTTTCTACGAGATGAAAGTTAATATTTTTACCTACATATTTATCAATTTAAGATATTTTTCTCACTTTTTCGTAACTGTACCTTTAGTATACCTGTATACCTGTAAGTACCTGTATACCTAAAAATTTCAGGTGTTTACTTTTCCGCACACAGTGCGTAAAAATATAGGAAATGCACTTGTGCGGAAAAGTGGTACTTTCATGACCTAAAATTCATGAGGAAAAGTACTCTTTTCCGCATGCTAGTAGAAAAATAATTAAGCAGTCCATTTGATACTTTCTGAATTACATTTAATATTTTCTCAATTACATTTGAACGCTCTCAATTACATTTGACTATTCTCAATTACAATTAATGCATTCTGAATAAAATTTAACTATTCTCCTTGCTATTCTCAATTACAATTGACGCTTTCTAAATTGCAAATGAAAAAGATAACTGGTGATGATTATTTGAGTGGAGATTTTAAAACGCAAAATCACAGCGTTATCTTCTTTACAATGGTTAAATAGTTAAAAATTGGTAAAAAATAGATTTCTGATTCCGCAGGATTATTTCACCACTAATTCGTCAATTTACTATAAACTCTAATTGTAAATGGATTTTCTATTTTCTAATTTTCAAGAAATTTCCACTTGAATTTTGATAGAATATTAAACAGTATTTAAAAAGCCGTTGAATTAGCCTTGATTTACCCGTCTAGTACCTCTGATAATTGTAAAAAAGTTATTTTTTTCTATTTTTTAATTTTCATGGAATTGTTTCACCGAGTGTTTCATTTAAATTTTGACAGAATATCGGGTATCGGATAGTAATTAAAAATACATTGAATGAACCTCGATTTAACCCCTTAGGCCTTCTGGTAAGGAAGATAGCCAAATACATTGTAAAAAAAGTTGAAATAAAATACAGAAAAGTCCTCTTCTCACAATCGTTTTCACTGGCTCTGTAATGAAAGAGCGCTGCACAAAAGAGCGCTGTTACAAAAGAGCGCTGTTACAAAAGAGCGCTGTAACAAAAGAGCGCTGTAACAAAAGAGCGCTGTAACAAAAGAACGCTGCACAAAAGAGCGCTGCACAAGAGAGCGCTGTAACAAAAGAGCGCTGTAACAAAAGAGCGCTGTAACAAAAGAGCGCTGTAACAAAAGAGCGCTGCACAAAAGAGTGCTGTAACAAAAGAGAGCTGTAACAAAAGAGCGCTGTAACAAAAGAGCGCTGCACAAAAGAGCGCTGTAACAAAAGGGCGCTGTAACAAAATAGCGCTGCACAAAAGAGCGCTGTAACAAAATAGCGCTGCACAAAAGAACGCTGTAACAAAAGAGTAACCAAAGAGTAACCCAAACTGACCCATCCTGGGAATGCGACCCAATCTCTGTTTCCGATTTTCATCAAATTTCTCAAACAGAAAATGAATACAAAATAACCCAATCTAACCCAAACTAACCCTTTCTCGGAATGCGACCCAATCTCTCTAATTGCTCAAACAAAAAATGAATACAAAATAACCCAATCTAACCCAAACTAACCTGTCCTCGGATATGACCCAATCTCTGTTTCTCAATTTCGTCAAATTTCTCAAACAAATAAGGATACAAAATAACCCAATCTAACCCAAACTGACCTGTCCTCGGAATGCAACCCAATCTCTGTTTCTGAATTTCATCATATTGTTCAAACAGAAAGTGAATACAAAATAACCCAATCTAACCCAAACTAACCCGTCCTCGAAATGCGACTCAATATCTCTGTTGCTTAATTTCGTCAAATTACTCAATCAGAAAATGAATACAAAATAATCCAATCTTACCCAAAGTGACCCGTCCTCGGAATGCGACCCAATCTCTGCCCTTTTTTACTTAATTCATCTTTTTGAAATTCAGACAGCGCTGTTTTGTAACAGCGTTCTTTTGTGCAGCGCTCTTTTGTTACAGCGCTCTTTTGTGCACCGCTGTTTTGTTACAGCGCCCTTTTGTTACAGCGCTCTTTTGTGCAGCGCTCTTTTGTTACAGCGCCCTTTTGTTACAGCGCTCTTTTGTGCAGCGCTCTTTTGTTACAGCGCTCTTTTGTGCAGCGCTGTTTTGTTACAGCGCTCATTTGTTACAGCGCTGTTTTGTTACAGCGCTCTTTTGTTACAGCGCTCTTTTGTTGCAGCGCTCTTTTGTGCAGCGCTCTTTTGTGCAGCGCTCTTTTGTGCAGCGCTCTTTTGTGCAGCGCTCTTTTGTTACAGCGCTCTTTTGTTACAGCGCTCATTTGTTACAGCGCTCTTCTGTGCAGCGCTCTTTCGTTCCAGAGCCGTTTTCACTAAGCAACCCTGGAGAAATATCACAGAGTATCTCGACAAGGTAAATATTGTCACAAGTCTGGGTTCAATAATGATATAATAAAACTAGAGATTCATCCATTTGCCGAAGTAGTGAATTTGGACAAGGCGCAGTGGGGGAAGAAGGCAACTTCTTAACTTCCCCACTCCTCGTCTGTTGACCCACAGATGCAAGTAGCCAAAATAGTAAACAAAACAAAGGTAAAAAAGGAAGTCAGACAGATAGGCTCCTGGGGTGGCTTCTCCAACATACCACATCTCCAATGACTCCAATAAAGGGTATCTTTAATTCGCAGTTATGGTTGGCATCTGAATTTAAATAGTTACATTATACAGTGTGTCCAAGCTAAAGAAGGATGGGATAGCTAGAGGGGCGAATCAAGGCTCATTCGATGTATTTTTAATTACTCTCCAATATTCTATCAAAACTTAAGTGAAACAATTTCTTGAAAATTAGAAGATAGAAAAAACTATATTTTGAAAAAAATTATTTGGCGATTATATTTTATAGTAAATTGTCGATTTGGTGATAAAATAACCCTGGGGAAATGTATTTTGTACCTATTCTAGACTATTTACCCAATTAATAGAAGATACACTGTGATTCTGAATTTTGAAATAATTATCAACAGTGATGAACTGGAAATACTATGTGTGAAATGAAAATTAATTCAACTTTTCTGTCCTCTACCCATGTATTGTCCGTCGATTGTAATCTGACACTTTCCGTATGAGGAGCGAGGGGGTGAAGCATATGGCAGGTGACCATTGGTGTTCTAACGTAGGGAGCTACCAACTCACATTCCTTTCGAGTATCAAATTAAAATCGATGGACTGTACCATTTGGGCAAATATAAACTGATTTAGTAGGGCTTTCAGTAGGAACTATCATAGGAATAGAATAGGGCTAGGGCGTGTTACATTCCTAATGTTGATCTTTCATAATTCTATGAATATAGACCACCTAATTTAGACAATTTTCTGAGAGCAATAGGTAGTTTGAATTTGTTTCGATTTAGATTTAAACACGATGGATGTTTTGCAGTTTGCAGTAATTTTTATATGTGTGGTAACGGTATACCTACCTACTTTTTGGTCTTCAATATTTTCCATTGAATAAAGAATTCTCCAAGCAGTTTCGATATCAATAATTATCTGTTAGTTTTGCGGTATCAGGGCACATTATGTCGTTGGATATTGGACTTAGACCATTTTCTAATGCTAATTAGATTTTTTTTCATCTTATCCAGCTTAATAGCAAGATATCATATGAGAGATAAATAAACATACAGTTATGATAATTTCGATAGTTTAAAAAATTATCTTTATACTATAACATTAGAGCTAGACAGATATAATAGACAGAGACCAATACGTCAGCTAGTGCCTAATTAGACTGAAATCGAAAGGGCCACAGCACAAAAATGTATATTCCAGAAGAGCTTAAAAATATACTAATTATTCACGGCTTATTGCAGAAATTACACCACAAGATACTTCAAGCATAGAGATATTTGCAAGAGAGAATTTGAGCTATTTGAAGATTATTTCAAAAGAAAAGTTTAGGAAATATTAAGTTTTTTTTTTCTGGGTTATTCTGAAAAAACAACTAACCTCGCAACTAACAAACATTTAAAAAATTCCTTGTCTCCAGGAACAAAAAAAAAACAAAAAAAAGAGAAATTTTGGAGAAAAATACCAAGAGAAAACCAACCAAAATATCAAATCAAATCAAAAACAGCTTTACGCTTTATTGAATAAAGACTAATACAATCTTATCATCAAAGCACACTAATCCAATATAAATTCTTAATAGGTACTACATAATAGTTATTTTCATTACTGCACCCAGTGAGTTAAGAAGCTCTTAACTCGCGCATTTTGAGTGAGTTAAGAGCTGCTTAACTCACGCATTGGCATTACCGCACTCTTTCTTAGGTTTTTGAAACTATAGTGACATCAATATTATTTACTATCAAATTGATATGTAACCATGCATGGTGTTATTGTGTTTTCATGGTAATTTGGTCAAGTTTATATTGTTATTTGAACAAAAGGTATTGAGTTGATTAGGGTAGCTGGTTTTTAGAATAGGTAATACAATTATTATTGAAATTAAATTTTTTTGTGTTTTTAAAGTTAAGAGCGTATGGCGTAGATAAAATATTGTACGATACACGTGAGTTAAACCGCATTAAGATACGCGTGTGGAAGTTGCACAACGAGTGCGTAGCACGAGTTGTGTAACCACACAAGTATGCTGTTAACTCACTTGTATCGTAAATATCTATTATGTATCAAGGGTACTAAGTAGATGATTATGCCCTGAAGGCG